GTATGCTAAACTGATTTTCTGTATATAAAAGAGAATCAAAAATGAATCTTGATATGAATGAAGGGAGAGGGAGTGGATAAGGGGAGGGTTGTGGGTTGGAGGGACGTTATGGGGGGTAGCCATTGTAATCAATATTCTGTACTTTGGAAATTTATATTCATTAAATAAAAGTTAAAAAAAAGAAAAAAAACATTACAAATATGCTACTTTTTAAGAAAAAAATACACTTCATCAAGCTAAAAACTTCTGCACAGCAAAGAGAACAAGCAACAAAATGAAAAGGCAGCTGATGGAACTGGAGAGAATATTCGCAAATTCTGTATCAATGAAAGGTTAACATAAAATGTATGAAGAATTCTGCAATTGGTTAGCAAAAATCCAAATAATCTGTCTGATCTTAAAAATAGACCAATGATGGCTGGCGCCACAGCTCACTAGGCTAATCTTCTGCCTACGGCTCCGGCACCCCAGGTTTTAGTCCCGGATGGGTGCTGAATTCTGTCCCAGTTGCTCCTCTTCCAGTCCAGCTCTCTGTTGTGGCCCAGGAAGGCAGTGGAGGATGGCCCAGGTGCTTGGGCCCTGCACCCGCCTGGGAGACCAGGAGGAAGTACCTGGCTCCTGGCTTCGAATCAGCGCGGTGCGCCGGCCGTAGCACCCATTTGGGGGGTGAACCTACGGAAGGAAGACCTTTCTCTCTGTCTCTATCTCTCAAAAACAAAACAAACAAAAAAATAGACCAGTGAATCATCTAGATACTCCCATATACTATGAAACATCTTTAGTTTATTTACAGGTAATAATAAGATTTAAATGTTATATAAATGTTATATTGTATTGTTTAGTGAATAATGAAATTTTCAATCCAGACATAATTTATAAAAAGTATTTTTAATCTATGGTTGATCTGTGGAAACTGCAGATACAAAGAGCAAACTCTGTATGGTTTTAGGTGAATGTTGTAACCATTCCTTGTCTATTGTTTTGTGAAAAGATTACATTAAAGTACAATCCTACTTTTACACTCTCTGTTATACTTCCCATTCTTTCAATAAGGAGAAATTTATTTGGTATCCAGATTGTCATTTCTCCTGTGATTGGTCTTCTTTCTCACTTTTCTCACACTGGAAAATACCAACTAATCACAGGGTCCCATTGCTCCCTGCAGTTGCTCTGCACACGCTTCATTCTCTGTTAGTCAAATGACTTTCATTTTACCTCCCTGTGTTGTGTTTTCAGCTCTTTCCTGTCTGTTGGGTCAGGTGCTTGCCTTGTTCTGTTTATGCTTGGCAGCCCATTCAGCCTTCCCTCTGGCTGATCACGCTTTTCAACTTCCATTTTTTGTTGTTGTTGCTTTAGAAGATATCAACTTCTAACCATGGTGGGTTTTTATTTTACTTTATTTTTGGACTATAATGATGAAGAAGTTAAGTGACATAAAACTATATGTATTTATGGGGTACTTTGTCATGTTTTAAGACATGTATGCATTGTGTAATGTCCATGAGGGTAAATCTAGATATAGCCTGAAACATCGTTCGTTACATTTTTGTTTTCCAGATGCTCAATTCTTCAAATGGCTTGGATTTTGTATCTCTAGCAGCTTTAGCTGAGAGATACTTTCCCTTATCTCTGGCATCACAGAATTGTTCTGCTGAATTATCCTGGATGTTTGATAGGGAATAAGTTTCAAACAGCAAAAGAAATACTGAGGTAGATGCAGAAACAAGAACATAAATCCAAAGTAGTTTCTGCTATTGAGGGTGGGAATGAGAAGAGTGTGTATACATGTGTGTGTGTGTGTGTGTGTACCCACTACGTATAACAGATACATATAGATATGAATTCTATTCAAATACTTGTTCACTGTATTATTTCAGGAATAAATGCACTCTATTGTTGAAGGAAAACCACCTGGTATGTTAGGTCTGTAAGGACCTAATTTCTTCCTAAAAATATATTCTATTCTCATCCCTGGAAATACACAAACATATACATATAATACATATATAATTGTAAGTTAAGTGACTGCTAATAGGCATCGTGATAGAGTTCAGTGAGCCCACGCTTTGGTCACTGTACCTCATGTGTTGCGATGTCACGATACTGCAGCATTTTGTGATGCCTTCGTTCCCCCTTTCACTTCTGTGAGGACAGGGATGATGATGTGAAACATCAGCTTTTTGTTTATTCAGATAGAAATTGGGTCGATGGAATCTGAGCTAAACAGAAAAACGGAAAGCTGCAAGAGGAAAGAACTGCATTGAGAGATCTCTATTAGAAGGCTCTTAAGAACGTGCAACCTGATCTGAAGGGATAGATGAGTGAAGGCGGGAGGCTGCCTCTTCAGGAGATCAACAGGAAGAAGCAGATGAACAGAAAACCATTAGTCAGTTTGTCAGTCTTTGTATAAGGGATTCCACTGGCCTCAGGAAATTGGTAATCTCTCATTTGCTTAGGTCATATATTAGATCCGAGTCTGAATGCCTATAATTTAGCTAATATTTTTAAATGATCTGTAAATTTTAAGCTTTGCATGTAAATCATTTTTAATATTTATGTAATGTTACAAAATGCTTTTATGTAACTTAGATTATATTAGGAAATTTCCCTCAAATTACATTTCTATCAGCAGTTTAATTTCAGAAGATCTTTGATCCCATGATACACCTTAGTAATTCTCCTGATGTTCTTTTGTTTTATCTGTCACTACTAAATAAACTGTGACATCAGACTCCAAAGTGACCATAAATTAGTGATGTATCAGTTCAGTTATCAGTAATTTTCTTGATACTGCTAAATTTTTCATTACATCACACAACAAGCATATCCAGCAAAGTGCACAGAATAAATTCTCCAAACAAATGACATAATAAGAAATAGTAAAAAGGAGGAGCAATATCCCCTATTTGTTAAAAGATACTTTTCAGGTGTAGCAAGTGCAGTAAATATCTTCATTTTTCATGTCTTGATTACAGTTAACGAATTTTAGTAATACTGGGGCCGGTGCCGTGGCTCATTGGTTAATCCTCCGCCTGAGGCGCTGGCATCCCATATGGGCGCTAGGTTCTAGTCCCGCTGCTCCTCTTCCAGTCCAGCCCTGCTGTGGCCTGGGAAAGCAGTGGAAGATGGCCCAAGTGCTTGGGCCCTGCACCCACATGGGAGACCAGGAAGAAGCCCCTGGCTTCTGGCTTCGGATCTGCACAGCACACTGGCCATGCGGCCATTTGGGAGGTGAACCAATGGAAGGAAGACCTTTCTCTCTGTCTCTCTCTCTCACTGTCTACTCTATCTGTCAAATAAAAAAAATTAGTAATACTTATGACATACTGCTTATTATAAGATATTTAGGTAAGTAAAATTTTAAAGTATATTTCTGATTTTTTGTATCTCAGGATATTTGTAAAATAAACCTCACATTTAAAATATAAATATGAATGTTAACCCCATGTTCAGTGAGTATCCCTGAGCTAGTCCATTCAGTTGAACATGTAACTATGGAATTCACCACCTTATTTGGTTTATTCATATATTTGTGTTGTATTTGTAAGTGTTTAGATGATGCTACTTTAATACTAAGTGTTGTGAATCATATTTACATTCAGTAGCAGTAATAGAGTTGCTAAAATTTCCACATCAACATAGCTGATTTGTAACTACTAATTACCATGGACTGCTTGGATGGTAAACAGAGCTGGGTAGAGAGAAAGTTGTTCCTTTATTACAAAGGAACCAGTGCTGTGGAATGGAAAGCTCTGACCTAATTTTTGTTAACAGGATTGTACTATGGGCTGACTCTGTTACTAAATTATATGATGGATAAGAAGACTTTGCAAAGTTGATATACTCTCAAGAGCAAATGTAGTTTACCTTTTCTGAGATAGGACTGTAGGCAGCTCAGTTTTCTCATTGAGAAACAAAAAAAGGAGAGCAAGATCTCATGATGAAGTGAGAAATTATTTGGTGGCAGCTTTCCATGAATAAAAAAAAAAAAGAAGCTCTATTTACATCATTAAGACTATAATAAAATGGTTTGAAAATTAGGTGTTTTTCTTAAGATTTATTCATTTGAAAGGCAGTGTTACAAAGAAACAGAGAGGCAAGAGAGAGAGAGCAGTCTTCCATTTGCTGCTTCACTCCCCAAATGGCCTCAATAGCCAGAGCTGGGGTGATCTGAAGCCTGGAGCCAGGAGCTTATTCCCATTCTCCCACGTGGGTGCAGAGGCCCAAGGACTTGGGCCGTCTTCCACTGCTTTCCCAGGCCATAGCAGAGAGCTGGATCGCACGAGGAACAACTGGACATGAACCAGCGTCCACATGGAATACCAGCACTGCAGGCAGCGGCTTTACCCGCTATGCCATGGCCCCGACCCCCGTTGATGTTTCCTTCTATCCATGAAGCATTTAGAGATCTGTAGGCAGTATTTTCATTTGGAAGCATAAGTGGCCTTTTTGTTGTACTTTTCTAAATCAGATATTAGTGTTTTGAACAATAAGATTTAAAAACTCACAGTGATGTTTAGAGCCATATTTTAAAGAAAATACTTTTTATAATTATGATTCTTTTGAAAAAAATTTTATTTAAGGTCTATAAATTTCATGCATTTCATGTATACAGATTTAGGAACATACTGATACTTCCCATCCCCCCTCCCTTCTGCCCACTCTTTCATCCTTCCTCCTCCTTCTCTCCTAATCCTTCTCTTAATTTTTTATAATCATCTACCTTTAGATTACTTTATACTCATAATATTAACCCTACACTAAGTAAAGAGTTCAGTAGTAAGAAGGAAAAAAAAAGCAAAATCAGGGCTGGAAACGATTGTTGAAGCTCAAAATACATGATTCTTGGACAATGTTTTTTCTTATCTTGTAGCATAATACATTGATGTTTTAACAATCAATAACTGATGTTATATATTTTAAAAGAAGCCTAAGATGAGTTCATAATTTGAAATGATTGCCTAATAAAGTGATGGTTTTAAACAATTTTGCAGTTAGAAATTAGATTTTAGTGCTGGAAACTAGACAATGTGTATTTGTGTGTGTGTGTGTGCATTCTTTGAAATGTACCAGCTCATCAACAGAGGCTTAGCAGACTTCTGTTACATGGGTACACGAATAAAACCTGCTAGAAAAATCTGCTGCAAAATCTGTTACTACATAATTAGTGAATCCAGAGATAGCTCATCTCTTTCAAATATTCTTATTCTTCTTCATCTGAAAAGGAAATATGAGTTCTTAATGCCATCTGGCTTGATACATGTCATAAAAGAAGTCATGTGATTATCGTTTTCATAGACTTGATATAGGTTTTCTTGTTTTGTTTCATTCTGTTTTTATAAATGCCTAAGTTCCAAAAATCACTCTTTTTTGTGCCAGGAAGAAAGAAAAAGAATGTTTAAAATTTAATCTCAAGATATTTTAGAGTTCCATGATCAATACTGTAATCTGCATATGACAGTGCTTCAACAGCTAAAATATAAAATTTGGATTTCTCCCTCTAGTTTATATTTGAACTTACTTATCAGATTGTTAGTATTCATGAGTGCAGGTAGAGCTTTCACTGGAAACAATTAATCTTAGATCTCAATTACACAGTTCGGTGTTTTAGGTAATTGAATATAAAACTGTGTGTTAGATACCGCAAAGAACTTCAGGGCACATGATCCTTATCAAGAACTTTATAAGTCTTTGAAAGATGGACATAAAAAATGCACTACTGTGGCATCTGACAAAGGAGCTGGGTTCTAGAATCAGGCTGTAAATTGAAAGCCACATGTAGGCAGAGTAACCCTTGAGAAATTGTAAGGGAAGCACCTAAGCAGAGTAAATCTAAATCCAAGGCAATGTTCCAACACAAGCGTAACTCTTTCTCTGGTTGAATCATATTTCAAATGATGAGCATTACAAAAATAAAAAAAAGTTCATTGTAAAGTGATTCTTGCTTTCCCTTTCATATTCCAATTGACGTAATACTCTTTTTTTAAAAGATTTCTTTATTTCTTTATTTATTTGAAAGTTAGAGTTATATAGAGAGAAGCAGCAGAGAGAAAGATGTCTTTCATCCGCTGGGTCACTCCCCAATTGGCCATTATGGAAGGAGCTGTGCTGATCCGAAGCCAGGAGCCAGGAGCTTCCCCCAGGTCTCCTATGTGGGTGCAGGGGCCCAAGAACTTGTGCCATCTTCTACTGCTTTCCCAGGCCACAGCAGAGAGCTGGATCAGAAATGGAGCAGCCAGGACTTGAACCAGCGCCCATATAGGATGCCAGCACTGCAGGTGGCAGCTTTACCTGCTATGCCACAGTGCTGGCCCCGAGGTAATACTCTTGATTGACCTGTTTAGAATAATTCTGTCTCTATTTTCATGTTTTTGCTTTTAATGTTCTGTGTAGGTATGATGTATGGATATATGTATTTGTATTATTATTTATATTTTGCTCCTTTTCACACACTTTTCTCATCCAGGTTACCAATATTTGAATCCATCATGCATGGCAAGTAGTGACACTGCAGACAAATGACTAATCACAAAGTGGCTTTAAATAAATACATCTGTGTCCTACAATTTACATGGGGTTCAAATGAGCAATAGATAGCCTAAGGTTAGGTAGCAGGTAAGAGAAACTAGCATAGCAAGATAATGTTGAGATGGGCTTCTTAGATGAATGGATGGGAATTTACATGGTACCTGTGGAAGAGAAAAATACCACCTGTGGCAAAGGGTATTGCCCAAAGACATGAGTTGAAAGAAGAGGACAGATCTTTGCTGTAACATAGACATGGAAAGGCATTGAAACACATATAACAGGTGCGTTTTGAGACCGTGAAAGAGACTGTACTAAAATAATACCCTGGAAACTGAATAAATTCATTTTTAAAAGTTTCGTTTTAGTGTTTTGAAAGGCAGAGTGGCAGAGAGATTCAGAGTGAGAGAGAGAGAGAGGGAGAGAGAGAGGGAGAGGGGGAGGGCGAGGGCGAGCTGCAAATGGCTGGGTAAAAGGAAAGCCAGGAGCTGAGAACGCCATCTGTATTTCCCACAGATGCATGGCTGGGGCTCCAGCTGGATCAGAAGCCTGTAGCCCAGAATCATATTAGCACTCTGATACATGATACCAGAGCTGCAGGCAGTGGCGCAAAGCACTACACCATAACCCCAACCCCTTGAATAATCTTTTATTTAAAAAAAATCAGTGTTATGATATAAGCTGTTATGTTTCAAAAGGATTAATGACAAACAGCAGGCATTTGGTCCACTTAGATTTTTGCATCCAGTGTTGCAGAGCCTGGGTTCAAATCCTGGCTATGCTTCAGATTCCAGTTTTTTCACACTGGCATGCAGCAGATAGAGGCTCAAATACTTAGCTCCCTGCACACGAGTGGGTGACTGGGATCGCATTCCTGGTTTCTGGTTTGGTCTGGCCTTGTCCTGGCTATTGCAGGCATTGAGCATTTGGGGAATGAGCCAGCTGATGGAAGATTCTCTCTCTCTCTCTCCCTCTCTCTCTCTCTCTCTCTCCCTTTCTCTCTCTCTCTCCCCTCGTCTATCATTGTCAAATAAATATACGTATGATTTCTCTTTGTCTGTCACTGTCTTTCTCTGCATTTCCTATAATAAATGAATACTATCAAACCAGTTCATGGTTTATATATTATATGTATATATATATTATATACATATATATTATGCTAGCTAAATAAAGTTAATACATTGAATATGATAACATGAGAGAAAAAATGATCCAGGATGTCTTTGAATCTTTTTGGGGGTTTATCTTAATCATAGAATGATTGTGCTATGTGAAGAATTAGGAGGTCTGTATAAACAATATGAATAGCTCTGTATTTTAAAATATAACACTGATCTTACATCACATACAAAACTGTACATTTTCACCTCCCTCCCACCTGTGTGTTATTGAGATCAGACTTTACATCTTTTTATATTGTGTATCCATGGAAACATTTTCGTATTTATGGTTATTTGAGTATTTTTATCTTTTAAATTTTATACTGGAGCTAAAAGTGACTTACACAAATGCATTTTGTATTTGTATTTTGCTATCGCATTTTGGATTTGTCTATATATTTAACTTTACCCATGTGTGTTATGGTTTAGATAGTTTCCTAGGATCAGGATGCCTTAAATATCCTAAATGGCGAAGATAGTGGTGATTTTTGTTTATTGTGATTTTTCCTTTGGTTTTATTTTCCATTTAATTTTATTAAATGAAAATGAGTACACGCTGTGTGGGCAAGAGAAGAAAAATGGGTTAACTTTCCTGTGAAAGGAGTGTGGTATTTACACACAGTGTTTACTTTCCGCTGGATGTGTGTGTCTTTGCTCTTGGTTTTAGGCTGGATTTCTAGCACCTTATCCTTCGTAGAAATAATGAGGAAGAGAGAAGAGAAACACATGTAGGTAGGGGCCTTCAGACAGTGGTCACAACTCTCCATCTTCCTTTTTTCTGCTCCAACCAAGGGCCAGAAACACTTGCTTTTTTAAAGTAAGGGTAATAATAAAAATAGGACAATATATCATTTAACCTATGCATACTATGTGGTTACTTTTGAATGCACAAAAAATAAATATTCTCTTCATTTAATTGTTAAGTGTACAAAACATGTGAATAAATATATATTTTGCTGGGATGAGTAGCTTTGAAAAAGAACAAAACCAATTTTAAAATAATTTTATTTGGAATAAGTATTCCTGAAGACTGTGTATTGTGTCAGAGGAATACAGAAAGATTATTCCCTATTGATATGTACAGAGTTAGTAATAACCTCCAAATTATCTACAAACCCGCAAATGATACTAAACCTGCTGTATTTTTTATCTCAGAAATGCAAGTCTCACTCTATTGACTTTTTGCTGTCTAACCATTGCCTATCAAGAATTGTGTTTGTTTTCCGAAAGAGGGAATATGCCTGCAAATAATAGATTATGACTTTGCCTCATTGAAAATCAATTAAGAATTTTGTCTAAAGCTTTATCAAACTCAGCAGAATGTATATACTCTGGAGAGCATGCTCACTGGGCTGTTCCTGCAACATGATTTACATCTACAGCCCATACCCAGTGAGCATGAAATGTAACAGCATTTCAAGTTACTGCTAAGTCCCCCAGACTGCAGGCTTTCCAAAGAACACATGGACTCTGTGATGGAGGCCCAGGGCCAGGCTCTGCTGACCAGCATGGGATTTCCTTTTGAGCTCAAGGACAGCTAATGGACCTACTCTTATGGCAGGGTGGAGCAGAGGGCTGATGAGTAGCACTTAAGTCCAGCAATTAGGTCAGTAGCTTTATAAAGAAATTCTAGAAGAGAAACATACACTTACTGGGCCTCTGAATACCATCCTATGTCTTTACCAATAGACTAGTTTTGTAAACACTGGCTCCTCTGCTTATAATACATTTTGACCCCTTATTCATTTGAATTTCTTCTTTTTCAGTATTCAACTTGGATATCACATCTTTGGTGAGTGCGCACAATTGGTCTTTGATTTCATAAATTTTGCATTTCACAAAAATTAACAACACAGTTGGAAACTGAAACAAAACCGGAATATGAGGTTCTATAAGTCAGAGAGAGACCTGGTTTTTCACTCGCCTCCCCCGCCCACCCACTGCTTAATACAATCTATTTTTTCCACAACACACCATGAAGATCCTGCACATCCTGGGTAGTCTGGCTTTCCTGAGCTATTCTCCTCTGGAACACTGTGCTTTCATTTAGCATAATGCTTCTGATTGTGCTCCTCCGCACTGGAGAGCTCTTGGAGAACTGTTTCCAGGGGCCAGAGTTGCTATCTGCTTCCCCGGATGTGGTGTGAAGCTGGGGTCCGACACCATTCTACGGATTCTTTGCTCTTTTCTTGATTCAGAAATTGGATTCTGTTGCCCTTCCAAACACCGATTTATCTATTTGTGATGAAATGATAATACAGTATCAGATTCTCCATCCTCCCTGTGTATAGAAAATTATTGCAATGGAAAATATTAAAAAGAAATCCAAAAGTGGACAAAGTTAGTTAAATTTAGTTGTTTCTCAGTGTCAAAATTTGACTAAATTAAAATAGTTTTTTTTTTTGTTCTTTTTTTGCAAGTGCTTCTCTTCCTGCAAAAGGACAAAGCATGGAGGCATTTCCATATTAAAGTAGTGTGATCTCATCTGGAATCAGGCATGAAAATTGCCTCCACGTATCCTGAGGCACATGGAAACACAGTGGCTGCTGGGGGTTTCAAAGTTTTGCTTCTGGAAGCAGTATTTTTTCCTGAGATTTGAAAGATAAGAAGTTGCTACCAAGCTAGATAAAGGAATGGGTGGTAGACATGATAACAAGTTGATTCAGAGTGAGATAGAAAAAAGTGAAATGAGTATATTAATCTCTGTTCCACTTACAGGACTGAAACAAAACAATTAACGTCTGGAGATTGATAAAGAGGCATCAGATTAATCATGAAACATGATTGCATCTCATCTATTAGCGTGCTGTAAGTCCTTTCTAGGTGTTAAAAGAAGAATCACAGCTAGTACAATTTTGGGACTTTCTGGCCAGCAGGAGCAGCAATTTAAGCTGCTGCCCAGTTCCCCACACTCCTTTTTCTGACGATGATGAAAAGCTATCTCTTTTCACTACTGAGCTTTACTAGAGTAGGGGTTACTGACAATAACATGTTTCCTTAGATCTTTCTTTGCTAGTCCTTTGTATAGAGAAAGTAACCTTAAAGTGCTGGTCGTCTAGCCACCAGTTTCTCCCATACCCAACCCAGGACGTATAGGAGGCTAAAATCATATAAAATTCTCCATCACATCATTCCTTAGTTCTGAAATTCCATAAGCAAACTGTCTTCTTCTGTCTTCCCAGGTGTTGTATGCAATGTCCAGGCATTTTAGCTGTTCTCAATGGTGGAAAAAGAGAAAGCATGTGCAGCCTCCCCCTTATCTGGACTGAAATACATTTTTGAAAATTCTGCAACTGCAGTCATTAAAATATATTTTAAGTATTGCCATTTTGTAATAATAACTGCCTCCGCTGCGTGATACTCCACTGCAATCAGCCCTACAGGGACACTGAGCAAAGCCCAGCACTCTGGCACAGAACTGATTATTTCTAGGGTACTGTGCTGTGTCCTCTCTCCAGCCTGCTCGACCTTCTCCCTGTGGCTGCAGGAGTTAAATGGTTAGGTTTGAGACTCAAGGCAACTGCAGAGTATTGCATTTATCTTCTCTTGACGTTTTCACTGTCAATCAGGAGCTCTGGGGAAAAACCTCATGAGTGAAATTTATTTTACTTTCTTTATCATGCAGTAATACTGGAGATAAAAAAGTTAATCTGAGCAATGGTATAAAATCACTGCTTTAAACTTTTAATGTGTGTTTCTTCTAGGCAACATTTTCATGGACTATTCTCTAGGGTTTACTGTTATAAAGAAAAGTCTTGAGTGAATAAATAATAAAAACCTAATATCTAGATAGATTGGTAAACGTTGGGTAAAACTGCACTAGCCATGTTTCCCTTCAGTTTTGAAGATTGAACCCATGGGTTTTATTGGTTTTAAAATTCATCTTTATGACTACGGAGGTGAATACACTTTTGTGCCTTTTCTGTTAGAAGAAATAAAATCATGTGTCTCTACATTATTTGTTTTTACTGTTTTGGGTAAGTTTCATAATTCAACAGAGAAAAGACTTACCAGTTTATCATTTATAATGTTTCAATTTTTGTAGTTTCATTGGTTTTGAGATGTTTCTACCTGGATGATTTGAGACACATAGACTATGAGTACAAAGAACAGCTATTATGTTCTAAAGCTGCTATTTAAAATGAAAAAAAATCCTTTTATTTTAATCAAGTTGCTTTTTCACATCATTTGCATTCTCTTGAAACAAAGAATGACAAATGAAGGATAACTATTTCCACAATATACAAGAAAAAGGAAAAAGAGTGCTATGCCTACGCTTTCTGGGATTAAACAAACAAAATCTCACTATACTAAAAGTCACATTTTTTATGTTTGGATTTTAAAAAATGTTTTAATGGTATTTCTGGTTTTCATAAAATGTTCTAAGTATCATTTGTAAACTCATCTTGAAACAGTGAACACCAATAATGTTGATTTAACATTTAAGTATGAACCTGGATTTAACTTTAGAAGGTAATGATATACTTTATATAGTTATATAGCAGGTCATTTGAGATCTTTACTTACTTTTCTATATCGCATCATTTTGGGATCAAGACCTACATTTGAATTTGAGATTAATGCTCATTGTATGAAAGCACTGGTTCTCATTTAGGGGATTGGAGTGATTTTTATTCCCTGGAGCACTTGGCTATGGGTTTTTAGTAAATGTCCATAGATATTTTTCACTGCTATGAAGGGGTGGCATGTGGTGTTTAGAGGCCAGAGTTGCTTCTAAACATCTTAGAATACCCGCAAGAGTGAATTATTTGGTCCAAAAATATCAATCTCATTGCTGTTGAAAAACCCTAGCCTGAAGAGGATAATTCTAAAGTCTGGTAATTTATGGATTGTTGAAACCTGAAAGAATAAATAACTGGTTCATACTAAAATTTTCTTTTCTGTGTTAATGTATTCATAACAGAGAACATGTAACCTAATAGAGGCATTTTAAAAAGCCTGTAGCAGTTATTCCCTTGTAATTTACTAAATGTTTACTTTGTTTCTTCATGCTTTTGAACAAATACACCTTGTCAAAAAATCCTCCCAAGTGATTCTTGATGAAATAGACAATATAGATAATCCCCGATTTGTGCCTTTGCAAATCACCGAGTTTCCCTAATGTCTCTGCAGCAGATAAATTGAGGGTAAGATTTGGGTCACATTCATTTTAATCTGCATTGTGCTCAATGTAATCCCTTACCTTCCCACTCAGGCATGGCTCTGCCATTTCCCACCTGGACCCCAGCTGACAGTGCATGACCCAGAGCACGATTCTCATGGGGCGGTCACACGCGGTCCACCCTGCTGAGATGCTGTGGTTCCGCTGACTCAGCTGCTAGCCCTCCCTGGCAAGTGCAACACATTTTGGACCTGATCACTCAATGCCCCATCTCTGCTGCTATGTAGAGGCAGATTCTTGCCAACTGACCCCAGACAAGCATGCTGTCCATCTTCCCATTGCTCTGACTGTTGACCACAAGACCCACTGCAATTCTTGCCTTTGTGTAGCCTGTTGGGGAGATTTCCCATGATGGAATTGCTGTCACCTTGAAATACTCCTTACAGAAGAAAGTGATTTCTCATTTCAGGTGTACATTCTCCTCCCCAGGCCAGAAGGATGTCATCAGAGCATTCTGAGGACTGATTAAAGAGCCAGCTGCCACGAAACACCAGGCCATGGCGCTCTTCCTGCCCTTCAGCTCTGTTTGCTGAGTCTGGTTTTCCCACAAGAGCCCTTCCTACTTTAGCGTGAATTCTGCTCCAGGGACCCTGCCACATGTGGTGACATCAACTTTTCTCTGCAGTCAATTAGCCTCTTCCATGAATGTTTAGACCTAAGTGTGGGAATGGCTGCACCCACTCCCCACCCTACCCCACAGGTGGCTTCTAAGCAGAGACACAGCATTCTGTAGGGGATGGCTGTCTTATCGACTTCCTCATGGCAAATATAATGCAATCTTGAATTAACTCTGTTGAGACTCCATTATGTCCTTAATCATCAAAACAAATAAAAATGAAAACAAGCAAACATTAATTACAACAACACAAACACTTATTTTACTTGACTATAAATTCCCAAGAATAGTGTAGGAGTACTCAGTCAATATGTTTTTAAGAACTAAAAATGACCTGACAGCTCAGGAGAGGGGCACAGTGGATTCAGAATGATTGATAAGGTTATTGTTCTTATGCCTTGAAATATATACACATTCACATGTACGCATTTATTCTTTTTATGCATAAACCTTTCACTTAAAAGCAATCAGGCTTGGACAAATACAACTGGCAGTTTCTTTAGAGAAAACTCATTTCTAATTCCTCAGGAAACATCGGGCTTTGTATACTGCATCAGTAAACATAAAGAGATTTGTATGAATTCATGGAAAAGAAGATGCAGAAAAGACTTGGGCAGCATTTGAAGCAGTGATTCTGCCCTTGGGGATAACAGCGTCCTCAGCCCTCAGACAGGGTGTTGTCACAGCTGCATGGGACACACACAGGAGGTGTAGTCCTCTCCAGGAAACCCAGGACCTCAGCGGAATGGAAAGCTTTAATTGGCAAGGTTGGGGGTTTAAGGGATTTAGTAGCCTGTGCTAGAATGAAAAATAGTCCTCAGGGATTCCCACATCTTAATCCCTGGAACTTGAGAATGTTACCTCAAAGGGGAACAGAATCTTCAGATGCGACTAAGTTAGCAGTAAGCAGTGGAAGGATTCTGTTGGATTTTCTGGGCCTGGTGTAATCATAAAGGACCTCTGGGAGAGACGAGAAAACAGCCGATATTAGGGGATGCGATGAAGGAAGCCAGAGATGGAGTGATGCTGCAAAGGGGCCGTCAGCCAAGGAATGCAATGGCTTCCAGGAGCTGGGAAAGCAAGGGTACCTCCTGCACACACCTGGTTTTAGTCCAGTGAAACTGAGTTTGAACTTAAACTTCTGTTACTGTAAAGTAATACATTCATTTGGCTCTGAGTTGATGGCATTATGCTAGTGTGTGGAAGCAGTGATGAGAAACTAACGATGCAAACCCTGCTTGGGTCACCTACAACCTGCACAGCCCGGTGCTGGGGAGGCAGCATCTCTGTGCTGCTCGCCCAAGCTCATTTCTTGTGAAAAATTTTGGCATAAGGGTCGGCGCTGCGGCTCACTAGGCTAATCCTTCACCTGCGGCGCCGGCACACCGGGTTCTAGTCCCGGTCGGGGCACCGGATTCTGTCCCGGTTGCCCCTCTTCCAGGCCAGCTCTCTGCTGTGGCCCAGGAGTGCAGTGGAGGATGGCCCAAGTGCTTGGGCCCTGCACCCGCATGGGAGACCAGGAGAAGCACCTGGTTCCTGGCCTCGGATCAGCGCGGTGCGCCGGGCGCGGCAGCCATTGGAGGGTGAACCAACGGCAAAGGAAGACCTTTCTCTCTGTGTCTCTCTCACTGTCCACTCTGCCTGTCAAAAAATAAAATAAAACAAAGAAAAATTTTGGCATAGGAAAGCAGTGCTGTCATCCTTTTACCTGTGCCCTTGGGTTTGATTTGCAGAGAAAACATGCCCATCCCCCCATCTTTCACAGTAAATTCTTAATTCCACAGGATTATGTGCCCTGCTGCAAAATTTCACCACCTTCTGTGGATCACCAGTGCCTTTTCTCTCTTATCTGTCAGGAAATAGTTTGAGATCAAACTGTCACACTTTTGAATTCTGAATCTTTCTTTGATCTCAGATGGCTACCTTATCACTGGCCTTCTGTTTCCCTTTCCATAAAATGAATGTCTTCACAGCTCTCTCTCAGTCATGTTTTAAATTAAATGAGAGAGATGGAAAACCTTTGTCACAATGCTCTTTTAATAAATAGTAACCATTCCAAATGTCAAGGCAGTAAGATAACTACTGTACTTGGTGGGTAAGATCCTAAACACAGTTAACTGTCCCCATTGTGGAATCACAGAAGACCGGACACCTCACCTTGTAAGAGCGATGTGATTTATATTTCCATTTCTCCTGTAAAATAGGCAGCCGGGCATGGAAGTGATGAGGCTTGGCTTCAAAGGCAAGCTGCTGGCATTCAGATCTGATCTCTTCCATTTATTTCTATCTCAAAAGGTGGTTGCAAAGATTTTGTGAACTGATAGATTTAGATATCCAGACTTGTTGTTAGTAGTCAGTAAATATTACCATTATCATTTCTATTCCTACACTGAAGACTGTTTTTTTTTTTACTCCAAGAATAGGAAGGAAGAGAAAGGCCAAAGACACTTAAAAGAGATTCCATCGAGACTACTTGAAATGTCGAATCAAAGGTCTCTGCACACACGGATGAGGCAGAGCTCTCGAGGGCAGACTTGTACAGAACTTAGACCTGTCAGTGGAGATAAAGAGAAGTGTCTGTAACTCTGAGGGACAGGAAGGTGTTGCAATGCACAGTGAGCAACAATTCTGAATTCTGACCACAGCGTTCGTCAATTTGGTTTTTCTATCACGATTTACTGAAAAATGAGTTTCATTCTTAAAATCATTCTACTGCGTTTTTAGGTGACAGTTTTATCTCCTATATTTTTGCTGTTTGGGGTTGAATTTTACATTATTTATACTCTTTCACTGCTGTGACGTTAGTAATTGACTTCTAATGTCCATTGTTAATTTGTCTTTCTTGGCTCTTCAGATATGCTGGGCTCCCATTTCCTACTCTCTCCCAGCAAGACGATTTCACTTGCCACAGTAAGGAGTTTTCACGTATTTGTGTCATAATAGAAAAATCGTGGATTTCTCTCTGAACTGGAAGCCCTATCCTGAGATGCCTTTATGTATTTTCAGACTGGTCATA